GTTTGATTGAGTCTAGTTTGTTAGAATTCTATCCCTAGTAAACATGGCAAAGTTTACGAAAACATGAGCCAAAAACTGAATCTGGTTAGGATCTTGGGAGGTCACGAGAGTAGGTATCGATGATCACCAAAGACTGAAAGGAAGCGATCACTTTTTGCAGTTTCCTTTACTCCACTGAAAACCTACCCCTAGCACCTACTTTCTTTGCTAGAAACTGAGTTATATTTAAGGTTTAGTAAACTTGAGACTTCCCTTTACAACGTAGAGATAAAACTGAAATTAGAACATCTCTAATTTGCAAGAATTCATTGCCTTCATTCATCATGGCGGCTTTCGTCTCCGAGACTGTTATCAATGGAGACGTTATCAATGAATACCGCGTTCGCTTGGAAACTTAGGAGATCGAGGCAAGCAATCTCCACGTAAAAGTGATCACTGTGGTATATTTATAGGCTGCTTACCTTGGACAAAGGTATAGCAAGGTCGCCCCTTACACTGTTCTTTTCATCGTACCTGTCGGACAATAGCTGGACTTGAAAATCGAACCAGAACAGTTACTTCTTTGTATTTGATGAAATGCGGTGAATAAACCTCACTGCAGCTTCAACGATTAGAAAAGGACGGCATTGGCTTGATTTCCGTCCGACGCTGGACTCAAGAGCGTGACATGGCTCGACGTTTTCTCAAGTCACGTGATAACTCCCCCTAGATTTTTTATTTTTAATTTTACGATCGATTTACAAATGCAGATAAATTGATTCTGTCTAAAACTTCAGACTGACCGATGTGGAGGTAGTATAGGAGTTGGCGGTAAGAGAGCACAAAGGGATCGCCTACAAAAGCGCCAACTCTTACCTATACACTGCCATGATTTTATGGAAATTATTCGACGAAATCATTTGATGAAATTGTTTGATTAAATTATTTGAAGAAATCACTTTCAAGAGCGTGACATGGCTCAATGCTTTCTCAAGTCACATGATAACTTCCCCATCCTTTTTTTATGATCGATTTACAGATGCAGATAAATTGATTCTGTCTAAAACTTAAGACTGAGAGAAGTGAAGGTAGTACAGGAGTTGGCGGTACGAGATCACAAAGTGATCGCGTACGAAAGCACCAACTCTCTATACGTCTACAATTCCATATCATGGACTTATTCGACGAAATAGTTTGATCAAATTGTTTGATGAAATTTTTTGATGAAATGATTTGATGAATTAATTTGATAGAATCATTTGATGGAATCATTCTATAATATCAAAGCGTTGGAATACTACATTTATTTTTTATATTATAGGGGACCAGCGATATGATCACCATTGCATTTTTCTATTGCGTGACATTCTCAGAAAAACAGGATATCAATATCGCAACGTAACATGTCCCCTTGTACTCGTCAACTTTTAAAGAGAGGAAGAAGGAGAAGAGATAGATTCGCCCACGAAAATGGGAAAATGAATTGCTTTTATTTTTTATAATTTCAGTATCTTGTTGAAGTTTGTAGATATCTTCCTCGCTTTAGAAATATTTCGGTCCGATGATTTATCTCACCCTCCTAATTGTTTTGTCGTAACACGAATGGGCCGCAAATTTAGAGCTCTTGTGTGGAGCCGCTTATCCATATGGCATGCTTAGCACGGTTTTCGGTTTAACTGTTTTCAATACTAGAGAGACACAGAACTAATTTTATAATGATTTCATGCTCCCTTTTTAGAATAACTCAAATTAAAATTACTTTTTATTTTTTAAGTGGTTAAAATAATTCTGCTTCGTCGTCGCATTTTTAAAGCATCGTTCAATTGCAACAATTTTGGTTCTGAAAAACTAAATTTCTTTGAATATGAGATATCAACAGTGTGTCCCCTGGGAGTGACAAGGTCTGTTTTTGAAAGTGCTCTCTACTTCTTCTCGTAACTGTGATTTTGTCATCGTGTGTCACTCCTAAGTCACACAATTTACATCCAACCAGACGTCGCCACTCGGTCTCTCGGATTAATTGTGACCTCATTTAAGACATAATATCATAAGTCAATCGTCTAAAACCTTACAGACTTTGTGTTTTAATTAGATAAACAATACATTTCTATTCAAAATTGTTAGGAAAATCAAGGTTTACCCGAAGAAAGGAAAACCCCTTCTAAGAAATTAAAGTTCTATTCATAACATACTAGTATTGTATTGTGAATATAGCTTGTTGATTCTTTAATAAAAGTCAGTTGAGCAATAGCAATAAAAGGAGTAACTTGACTGAGTCTAGACGACACAACAGCTTTCTTTACAGCCGGATCACATTTCGAAAGTGGAAAAGCCCAGGTTATCTTTCGTGAAACTGAAAACTTTAGTTATCTATTTTTTATCACTTTGGTTACGTCTGCTCGCTGAATTGCATGATTAAACCTCACTCGAGCGTGGGCTGCCTGTGGATTTGTTTACTTTACTTTTACATTCGAAAGTGAAAGTGCCTGAGGAGCATCTTGGTAGGGGCTTTTCTCTCGCGCTATCGTTTGTGAAACTGAAAACTTCAGTTTATAATCTTATCACTGATAAGATTATAAATTCTGCTTCGAACCTTACTCGATGCTCTCGCACGGCAACGTCTCCCAATGAGTTGACAGCATCACTTTGGTTATGTTTGCTCGCTGAATTGCATGATTAAACCTTTGAAACATTCATACCGAAAAAACCTTGAATAGTTATTTGCATTCAATCTCAGACTGTCGCTCTTTAGCTATTGAAGGTTTTCCGCTAACGAGACTTCGAAACCTGCGGACTTGGCATAACTTGAAACTTATCAACTGCTTGAATTGGTTATCTGATAGAATGATTGTATTATGTACTTGTACAAAATTTGCATGCGCATTTACAGCGAAGATCTCAGAATTCAAAAAGTCCCTGAAAAATTTTATATCGTTTCCTCGACCTTTGAACATTCAGCTAGAGTCAACGAACAAGCAAGGGTCTTTAAGTCCATGCTTCCCTGAATGCAGAGTGGTCCGTGTGTCATTCGTCCATTCAATTTTCGTTTAAAATCAAAAATTGATGTCAATTTTGAATTTTCGTCATTTTTTATCATAAAAAATACGGTAGCGCCAAGTCGAAAATATTTGACTTTTTTCCTTTTGTTAGAATATTGAAACATAACGCATATTTTTACTTTAATCCAGTCAACAACGAAGAGAAAAATCAAACTGAGCGGCAATTTTGCTTCTCTGACAATGTTGCAGTTTGTGGCATGGCTAAGTGTTTCTGTTTTCGGCGGAAGTCTAAAAATTTAAAATTGAAAATTGCAATCAATTTTCCTTTTTCGGCCAAAACATTCCAAACTGTTGACAGAACTACCCAAGAGGGAGGGGGAGGGGCCATTCGCACGGTAATTTTTTTTGCCCCCCTTTTGCTCCTTACTTAAGGGGTCTAGGGAAGAAGTGAGAGTTCAACTGCCTCTTCGCGATTTTTCACGACGTTTTGGAAAGTCTTGTGTCTTTTCGTCCCTCAGTTCTGTCCATTAAAGCGAGTAGCCAGACTTTAGACGTTAGCTGCGCAAGAAAAATGATCTTAGCCTTCGTATTGGAGCATATTGGAGCGGGTGATGTAGCCGGAATGGAGGTGAAGGAGAGGAAGAAGGAGGGGGTAAATTTTTTATACACCAGGGTGCAGAGAGGCAATAAGAGAGTAAACTGTCCTGCTCAAGAACACAAAACAATGGCTCTGGCTAGGGCTCAAACCCAGACCCCTTGATCTGGAGACAAGCACACTAACCATGAGGCCAGTGTGCTGACCCTGTGAGTGGCACACAAAAACATAACTGCTGCATTTTATAATAGGGAAATTTGTTGTTTACTGGGTAGTTTCTTGGTGGAGGGGTCACCAGAGTGTAAGATTTTACTCAAGTCTTACCAAGGTATATTTCTTTGAAAGCAATGGTGTGGAATTTTCAGTGTAAGTAGCAAGTATGGAGCATGCAGTGATGAAACTTTTTTTTATTTCAGGGTTGGCATTTTGGAAATGTGGAAGCTGAAAACTGTATGCTGTCAGATTCAGTAAAAATAGTAGGGAGCCTTTTAAGACTGAGCAGCTAAGTCCAAGGGAAAGGCTTCTTATTGTGACACGTCTGATTATAGTGATGAAGATTTTACAATCAATTCCAAAAAGCCCAAATTTTATAACCAAGGAGATATTCAAATTTTAAATTCAAAAATAAGTGAAATCAAGTCAATGGTTTCTGATATAATGCAAGTCAATCAAGTCTTGTCCTTGCCAATTGAAGTTGTAAAACTCCTACGAGATGCATTCATGTGCAAAATTTGCCATGTAACACCTATGAAACCCACACTCATTGCCACAAAATGCTGTAGCAGCTTGCTCGGTTGTGAGGAGTGTTTTAATGCCTGGTATGAAGGGTTAGATAGGCTAAGTTAGAAATGCCCATATTGCAATGAACCCAGGGGATATGCCTTTACTTTTCAATTTAAAGGGATGGGTGAATTTTTGGTTGGGGTAAGAGATCTACTCAATTGTGGGGAAAATAGCGCCATCCATTAATCTGATACAAAGATGCACTTTTGTTGTGTTAACAAGCTGTTTATATTTTTACCCAAACTGTTACTCAAGCTTGAACTATTGTAGTTTCAGTCCGTCAAGTGAGATTGTTTACCCATTTTATCCAAATGTCCCTTTGAAGTAAATTTGTATGTTACTTGAAGTTGTAAGATAATAAAGTTTAGATAAACAGGTTCAAAATGGTCACCCTTTATTAATGATAAACTGCCTGTACATGGCTTCAAAGGACAATTTAATATATGATTGTGTTCAATCAAAATTCCAGCAGTTGTCAGTATAACATGAAAATTCCATGCTTGTTACTACAGCACTGAGAAGTACTAAGGGTATTTCATTATATATCTTTACAACATTTTTAAAATTATTAGATTTTCAAAGAAATAAACATTGAAATTCAAAAGGAAAGGTAGTTTTTATCATTATGATTACAGATAGAAGAGTCAGTTTGGATTTAATGCTGTTGTTTGGTCAATGGAAAAAAGTAACCCTTGTTGGAGAGGGTGATGGTTGCCATTTACTAGACTATGGAAGAAACCATCAAAGGTGAGATAAATGGCTTTGAAGTTATCATCACGCAGTTTCTGGAGCTCCTGGTTTCCAGTTAGGAGGTCAACCCCAAACACTTCAGGAAGAGTCACATGACCACCTTCACTTTCATAAGCAGCAACAGCTGCTGCACTTGTGGGAAGTATGTGTATAGATGGGAGAACAAAAGTCTTGTTATTGTCCATTGTGCGTTTTTTTGAAACTCCCTTTCCTGTTTGAAAATGCAGATAAAAACATGGCTCAACAACCGTATGATTAATAATATGGATTATATTGATATATTATTACCAATATATGAACTTTAAGACTACAGTTCTACCAGCAATTTAAGATCTTTATGATTTGAATGATGTGGTATTTTTAAATAGGGAGCTTTACTTTCCATTTTCTGGTGCTTGAAAGAACATTTTGTACTTAAGTAGATGTAACCTTTAGAGTAGGGTGTGTCTATGTTGACCTGGAATAGTGTGATTGTTCCAACTGCTTATTACTTGTCTTATTCCAATATCTGCAACCCTAGATACAAACCATGACACGGAGAACTTGATTATGTCATCATCCATATTTAAGAGGTCTTTATTCACCATAGAATTTAGAACTCTCTATATGGGGTAGTTGACACGGGTGTTAAACTCCACCCATTTTCTTTCAGCTGGATGATTCTTTAAAGGAAGAATTAAAACATTTCTGTGTTTATAAATGGATGAAGCATCACTTTATACTGTACCATATATTGGCCAGTTATCTAACAAGAAAAATAGCCACACTCTTACCTGTACACATAAAGATTTTAACCAACTTTAATGAATTTTAACTTGTACACTTTTTGTAATTAGCTATTTTAAGGATAAGACAGTTTTTAAATTAGTTTATTAACATTACTTTATTAAATTTCATTTTGTCATTGAAAACTGCTATGGTGAGTTGGGTTCCCTCTATTGTTTTTAATATTATTATCATTATAATTATTGTTGTTATTATTATTATTGTTATTATTATTATTATCATTATTATCATTATTATTATTATTATTATATTGCATGTTCACTAACCATATGGCATACCTGCTTGGATGTTGTTTGGATAAAAGGGGCTCTCCTTGAATTGGTCCTGTAGGTTGACAATTTCTCCTGTGTATATAAAGAGAGGTAGAACTCTGTGCCATGATCAACTCTAATTTGGTCCCAAACACCATACTGCACAACAGCAGACCTTAAAAAGAAATACAAAATAAGGAGTATTGGAAAAGGAACTCTTTGTATACAACACAATTATATAGAAGGAAGTGGTAAAGCACTCCTTTGTTATAGTCCTGAATCTGTGCAATTTCAACAACAGGTTACATACCTGTATACCTGTAAATGTTCTCATATATCAGGACGTTGTTCTTCACTGGCATTGTGGCAGAGGCTACGATCTTTTGGCTATAGCCATCACATACACTGCATGACTTCTGTTAACCCATACATTCCCAATTTCTAATTTTGGTCTTAGTGCAACTTGTGACCAAAATAATCCACATGGAAGGGGAAAGGATTCATTTGCCTGGTAGTGTTGGAATTCCTCTGGGCTTGGTACACAGGAAACACTACTGATAATGCCCTTCCAATGCGCTTTTCACCAGCAGTGATACCACAGCTGTTCAGATATCCCTTCACCATTTTCCTTCCCCATGTTGGTCCAACCAAAGGCAATAATTTGGCACATTGTCAAGTCTAAAACATGCTCTATAGTAACAAAAGCTACCACCAACAAAAATAAACAAACAAAGCTAGTCCATTCCTTGTACTACTTTATTTCTTAATTCCCTGAGCTGGGTTATTGAATCTGTGTTGCAAAGGGAGAGAGGCTTGCTACACTTTAAGTATAATAAAAAGGAGTTAAGTAGAGGATGGGAGTTTATTAAATTGTATACCCAAGCTCCCTTGAAAACGACTGTTGCCACTTTTAAAGAAAGTCGTTTTTAAACTGAGTTCACAACTGGGTGGTAGCTTATAATTTTTATCTAGCAAGGGCACATGTATTGCAAAACATGGATCCTGTGGGTATCCTCAGTAAAAGGGGGCCTTGAGAACCACTCCCCCCGCCTCCTAATAGGGAAAATACCAGAGGCCCGAAGGGGAAGTGAAATTTTTGGCCCCTTATATTTTTCAAGAGGTCTGGATCCGCCGCTGGGGAATCAAATCTTGAACTCTGAACACGTTTAGAAAGGCAGGAATCAAAATAACAGCCAGCTGCCGGCGGCAGCCGGAACTTTTAGCACACTTGCCGGCGACTTTTCACCGAAGAACTCTAATTTTACAGGAAATATTATGCTTATTGATCGTCCAATTGAAGTAAAAGTCGCGGTCATGTTATGGTGAACATTTTATATCGGACATTATAACGCAGCCAAGAGATGTTTTAAAAGCTTTTTGGAAACGTAAACGAGTATAAAGTTTCGAAATTTGAAGCGTGGTAATGGGAGTATTTTTGTTTACAGTATTCAGCTTTCTACGTATCTGCTCAAGCGTGAAACATGCAAGTTTGTGTACACGCTGTCACATCACCGTGTTTATGTTTCTGTACGTTCGTACTACCTTTAATTATGATGTATTTTCCGCCAAATCCTGTTAAATATCGTTTGTAAAGCCTTCTCACGCGTCCAAATTGAAGTCGCTCCTTGACAGTACGGATTTCCCATCACTGCGAGTGAAGAAGCGCGACAGTTTGACTGGACAAATTTGTATATTTCACGCTGAGACAAACTCCGACAAATTGAGCCGTTCACTACGCTTTGTTAGAAAGGGAATTGCCGCAGCAAAACATGCCAATCTAAATAAAAATTCTTATGCTGTTTCGTATGCATTCACTGTTTCCTTCCTTTTATTACAGTTAATAAATCATGTTGAGTGTTGAATCCATGTGCTGACTGCTCATTTATTATTGACAGCCGGGAAAAAAATGAGCCTTGACAAAAGCCTACAGATTCACGCTAAAAGCTGAAAAATTACTTTTAAACCCTGAAGGGTGCTCATATAGACGCTTATGCAGACAAGGAAATGAAGATAGAAAAAAGAAGAAAACAAGCACTTAGGTCTAAAAAACTTTTACTTACCCGAGCAACGACGTCCCGTGTGCACTGCTCAAGCTCATCATTTGACAGGCGGTTGTGCAAATGTATCCCATTCTTTAAACAAATAACAATAAGCTTTCCTCGGAGCGTGTTTTTCGTTGAGTTATTACAAGATCCGTTATGTACTCAGCACTGAAGTCGTTCGTGTTCGGAAAAGTGACCACGCGGTAAATACGAATTTCCCGCTTCCTCCTCCTTTCCAGAGAAGTGTAGCGTGGGAGGGGAAGGGGCAGGGGCAGGGGCAGGGGCAGGGGCAAATAAATTCTCCCAGTGCATGAAGGGAGGCGGACCTGCCTGAGGAGAGGGCGCTGGGGGAAAAATTAACGTGCGAATGGACCCTCCCCCTCCCCCCTGGGTAGTTCTGTCAACAATTTGGAATGTTTTGTCAGAAAAACAAAAATTGAAAATTGATTGCAATTTTTAATTTTCAATTTTTAGACTTCCGCCGAAAACAGAAAAACTAAGCCACGCCACAGACTGTAACACTGTCGGAGAAGCAAATTTGCCGCTCAGTTTGATTTTTCTCCTCGTTGTTGACAGGATTAAAGTACAAATATGCGTCATGTTTCAATATTCTACCAAAAGGAAAAAAAATCAAATATTTTCGATTTGGCAAACAAATAACAAATTTTAAAAAATCAAAAATTGACATCAATTTTCAATTTTTGATTTTAAACAAAAATTGAACGGACGAATGACACACGAACCGACAAGTTCTATGCATGAGGAGATTTCATTTTAAATTTCGGCGCAAAGTTGACACATAATTTACCATTGTTTAGTTAAATTAGCATAGATGTCTGGATTTAGATTGAAGTCTTCTTTGTGAGTAGTGATGATTGATTCGTTCTCAAAAGTGCTGTACTGTCGTTTTCTGCGTCAAATAATATTCTGTTTGAGAAAGCTGTTTTAAGTCTTGTCACGAGCGTGGGACAAAGAAAAAGTTCTGAGTCCTCATGAGGAATCGAACCTCAGACCTTCGGATTCCGCACTCCGATGCTCTAACACTGAACTATAGAGACTGTACGGTTAGCGAGGTCTATTACGAAGTTCATATGACAAGTCAAGCGTCCTGTATACTGCTAGGATCAGCAGTGTCGATAGCGTCATGTCTGTAAATAGAAAAGGAGAGATGGTAAGTTTTGAGCTCGGTAAAGTAATAGAACTCGGTAGAGAAATGGAGAAATATTTCGACACTTCCCGCTATATAATATGCAAATCGAAATACTCTCAGAGTAAACTGAACATTTTTCAATAAAAAGCGCAATTTTGCTAAAAATCACTCAAAGCAATAATTTGGTGAATATTTTATGATATTGGCCGGAATTTTTTTCCTAAGTAAGTCGCCAGTCATAAGCAAAAAGCTCCCATAAAGTATCGACGCCAATATCTGGCAACTTTGACAACAAAGGCGTCGTCAATAAAGAGAGTAAGGCCAATATTGCCCCCCCTCCCCCATAAATAATAAGAGGCTTTGGAGTAATTAACTCGCTGCGATTTTCTTGTTTTTGAGACGTACGGTTCCATCCAATAAAGTTAAACAAAGACACGGATAATACAGTCATGAAGTTATAACTTAAAGTAATTATGACGACAAAAGTTTCCCGGTCGTGGCAATTTGAATATATAAACGCCAAAATCTTGTAACCCTTTTAGGTGTAATTCAAAATAAGCATTTTACCGAAAGAAGGGCGATAGCGCTTCGCAAAAGACGAACACTTTAAACTGCAGCTGACCCCAGAAGAAGTAAACGGAAAGAGTTGTAATCTCAATACATTTTTGTTTTAGGATTTAACTCCAGGACTTCAGGACATATTTTCCAAAAGAGAAAGACGTGAGCTAGCTGGAGACAGACAGAGTACATATTCATTTAAGAGTTGACCTATACTTACTGGATGGAAGTCACAAGAATCTGCCAGAACCAATTGTCATTCAACACGCTACCGTATATTTCAGGAACGAAACTGTGTTGCAGTTATCGTTAGTAGAGATCCGTGATGTTTAATAACTCTCGTGAAACATTACTGGATTTTTCGAACGGTATTGCTTCCTTTTTGAAAAACTCTGAATATTTTGCAACTTCCGTGGAAAATTTTTTCTTATGAAGTGTCCGCGGTCCATAACATAACACACTCAAAATACTTGATAATGCCGATACATCAGGCCATGTTGGCCAAATTAAAGAGGTGTGGTTAAAAGAAAGAGTATGAAAAGAATTGTAAAATGATTGGACATAGCCCTTCGAAATTGTTGGCATCATTTTTATCAAGCAATGTGTCGTCAAATATTAAAATTATATGACAATTCAAGCAATCAGACTTGGATTACGTAGCAATTTCTAGCACCATTAGGCTTAGTGAATCCTAAATAAACTGTGAGCGCTTTTCAAACAAAAATAATTAACAAATGACAGCGGCTGTCCCACAGCACAAGTGATGCTAGGATTAATAAGAGTTTTATTGAACCTTCCAGAGTGTCACACTCTTGTAAAAGTTCGCATGATTTTTTTCTCTTTTAGAAACGAGATCGCCCCTGTTTTATACTTTCAGCAAAGGTAAAAGACTTTCTAGAAAAAAATGGACGTTTAACTGCCTGCGGCGCGACCTGCCAAGACGTAACACTTGATGCGTGCAAACAATTTAAGTTTGGAAAAAAATAACTCGGTTTTAGTACATTAAAAGTAAAAAAAGACGACGCAAACAAACAAAAGGGTTAAAAAGAAAACTCGAAAGAACGAGAATGGTCAAGAATTGCGGTGATAAAAACGGACTCTAATAGTCATTACGAAGTTTACCCAACCATAACTGATCAAGCACTTTGTTTGATCAAGTTTGTGAATTTGTAATTGCTCTAGAACCTCTTTGTTAACTTTCTAGCGATAAGACGCCTGACTTCCCACGACGTAAACAAAAAATTCTAGAACAAAAGTATTTTTAACAGCTATACGATTTCAAAGAAAACATTTTTGCTCTCATTCAGCACTCAAGCCTTTCTGGTAGGAGCTGTTACACATTTCGATATTGGACAAACTTAATTGAAAAGAATCTTTCTTTTAAAAGGGTAATGGTTGTCGGCTATTCATTTTTCCCTAAATAGCCAACTTTGAAATCTTAGAATTGTACCATCCTACCCCACCAATATCATACAGAACGACAGTAAATTTTATAAATTTGGATTTTTAGACGCCCTGGCCAATGTGAAGAAGCAAAAAAAGCGTTGAAAAAATCAGTCAATGATTGATCAAAAATTCAATTCTCTTCCTTGACAAGGCATTTGTGATAACAGTGTGACGAGTGTAGATTTTTGTTGCGATGGGCATTTGGACCATTCGCACCATTTGATAAAGGATATAATCTTATTTGGAATAAAAAGAATTACTACTAAGCCTTTCGTGGATAGCTCGAGGTCTGAGGTCCTCATGTCATTCTTAACCCTATAATCCCAGAGAGTGACTAGCATCTAATTTCTCCTTTCAATATCACCCCTGAATCAAACATTAAGGTCATGAGAATAAAGGAGATGATAATCAACCGAAGAGCCTCTTGATTGTTAAACAAATTCTCCTTGCCAGCACATTAGGAAATGTCTGGAGAACAGTATGAAGAATATGCATACTGATGTTAGGGTGTAAAGGGTTCAACGATCTGGCCATTTACCTCCGTATTTCCTTTTTAATTTTGAAAAACGGTGCGATCGTGTTATTTAGGTTTGCTGAGCGGTACCACGAGATCACCAATCTGGAAAATTATCGTTTCGCTACTATTGAGAGGCAAACATGCAATAACAAGATAAAAGACTAAAATTGTGATTTTTATCAACATCTTCGTTGGTATTGTTCTTCGTTTGTCGATGTAGGAGGTTTATAAAGTTTTTTTGCATCTTCTCAACGATCACGCTTTATTGTTGAAAAAAATTAAATCAACCACAATTTTTCGTCGTCTATATTACTTTGGCATGGAAATTGCAACAAAGACTACAACAAGTCACTTTTAATAATTCATCCCCTACCTACAGTTACAATAGTCTCAATATCACCAAAAAATGTAAATGAAGGGTAAATGACAGCTCGAAATAGCTTTAATTACCTAAAATGCTAGATTGCCAATTAAATACATAATTTTTTTTCTGTTTATATATTTTTATGGTAGTTGAAATAAAGAGCTTACTATTTAAGTACAATAAGTGCACTCAATAAAAAATGGGTAAATGAAATTTGGAGAAAAATAGAAGACAAAGTACATATGGTTACAGACATCAAGATTATATGAGCTAATTATTGTCTGCGCTTAAAGGAGGATAAGGATATCCAATTGCGTCAAGTTTTGCATTTGAGCACCGGCTGCACCCTTGTGATTTCAATTTGGTTTAGTTTAATGGTAACAGTCCCACACTACCAGATTAATTTCGGAACGTCTTAGAAAATCGGTGACCGGGAAAGTGAGGCGAATATCGGCGATATATTTGCGTCTCTCTATAGAAGGATAAAAGGATTTTCTACGAGATGCCTCCCTAATGCTAATGCTAATGCCTTCGATGCCCTCTTTTGGTGGTCTCTCTTACTCCATACTCCATACTTGAAAAATGAAGACAAAATAAGTAGCAGACCTCTTTATCATCTAAAGCATTCCATTTGTTAAACATATTAAACAGTGAATCAACAGATTTCTTCCAAAGAAAAAAAGAAGATCACAGAACCCATTCCTTCTCCTTGAGACCTGCAAAAAAATAACCACGAAAGATAAGTACAGTGTAAGACAGTGAAGAAAGCGTAGAAAAGTCTACATAAAAAAACCAAATGTCATAGCTTCAAATGACGTAATGATTTTTTTCTGAATAATTTGTTTCCAACAGTTTTTTTAATTAAAGTAAGCATTTAGATGTTACTATTTTCATAATCATAAGAGAAAGCCGATTGATTAGCGGGTAATGAACCAATTTATTATTCAAAAGAAACGTGGAAAATAAACGCAGGTCTCAAGAGGAAATATCGACCTGAAAAGCTGAGCGAAGGTTCCACACCTGAGATCGCTGTTGCAAATTACTCTGTCTGGGACAGAAACTGACCAAACACAATCTACCTGAATATGTCACTCTTTGCCAGTTGCAGCTTTATTCTGAAATTTGCTTTACTTTTCTACCTGTATATCGTGAACCCTAAAGGATTAACGTTGGTCAGATCTTCTAGCCAGTTACACTTCTTCCCAGTCTGTAAATTCCACAGACCCAAAGCCATTTACTCTACAGTATACCATAATCTAATCGCTCGCAGATAAAAATAACAGAGAACTGTGTCCCTTTGTATTTATGAGTCTAGCCAACCGATTCAATCCTTACCAATGATATGTTTGGCTCCAAAGAAAAGGGGAATATTTCAACAGGTTAAATTTCCAATGCAAGATACAGGAGAACTTACCAGTATTGCATTCCAGCGGGTGTATTCTTTCACATCCAGTGCAGGAGAGTCCTCAGTTATAATTATCTTACCGTTTACTCAAAATCGATGACAATTATTTTTATATCAATGAACGACAACAAAGGGAACCTTCCACATTGTTAAGGGTGTGTCCCTCTCCCTTGGTTTTCGTATTTGTTTTATTTTTGTTAGTATGTTTGTTTGTAGATTCCTTTGTTTGTTTGGTTTTCTCTTGATATATTTGTTTTTCACTATCATTTGCTTAGTTTCTTGATTGTTAGTTTTTTTGTATGTTTTTGTTTTCGTTTTTGTTTATACGTTTGGCTGTGTTTTTCGTTTGTTTGTTTTTTTCTAGTTTTTAATGTTTTCTTGTCTCTTCTATGATGTGAGTGCATTTCTTAGTGAAAAAAAAATTATGTCTTGCCGGTTCAGAAATGTGTCATTTGTTGTGTCCCGCGCTGCAACAGCCATCGAAGTTCAAAGATAAAATATATTGATATGGTAGCAATCTTAGTTACTACAAAATTCCATCCATGGCAACAGTTTGGACAAGTTAGCATTAAAAATCAAGTCACAAATCGATCTTTGATTTCAAAATTTCTGTATGAGTGAGACGTTCATTATCTTCGTGATCTATTTTTTGAGTATAGTTATTTCAATTTGCATTATCATTTTTTTTTTTAAATTGTTACTGAGGACTAGTTTGAAGTTGGCCGAACAACGGATGTCGGCATATCGGGCACGTTCGGCTGCGAAAAAAAAATACATTACAGAGGTTACTACCAAACAAAGAATCAAATTTATTTTCAAGGAAAAAACCAGCCATCTATGGTGGCCAGTAAGTGCTATTCTAATTGAGAGTAAGATGTATTTTAAGCACTGGTTTAGAATTTTCAAACACGAGTCCAAAGTCATAAGTGCAGATCCAAAGTTAGTACGACGGATCCAAAGTTAGAACTTTGGATCCACAGTTATGACTTTTGCACCAATTTTTATTCTTTCCACACATTTTGAATGGCACTTACAGGCCACCCAAGCTATCACAGGAAAACAGAAACTAGAGAGAAAACATCAGCATATAGAAATCAAGAGCACAAATCAATGACAAAAAGGCAAATCATATGCACTTGTAGAATACACTACGAACTACGATGCTTCTATTCTTCATATATTTTAGGTTGTTTAAACAACAACAAAGGTGCCTTGCAGATACGATTTTTAAAATTATACCAGTGAAGCAGTTTGGAAGGAAAATTAAGTGGCTCCCCTTTCCCATGAACTCGACTATAAATCATGCAAATATTGAAACAAAAAAATTGGCTTTTTCAACCTCTGCATTGTTAAGTTGTTTTCGCAGTAACTTTCCAGGCCAATGGCACCAAGTGATAGGATCTGCCCTGGGATACCCAGGAGGTGTTCAATGAACACAAGACGTTTCAACAAATGTACTTACACTCCATTTTGTATCATTGCAATTGCACAGTCTTTGTGAACCTTGTGAGAGCAGGGTAGAATTTGACAGCCACTAAAGGCATCCTGTAAACAACATAAAAAAAAGATCATAATTTCAATTTAAAGATATTTTTTCAAATCCTTTAGGCGTTAAAAGATTGACGAGAAGATACATTTAAAGAATTACGATCTCCTTAAGCAGTAGGAAGAAGTTTAAAAGAAAAAAAATAAATAAAAAGTAAATGAAATCATATCGCATAACAAAAAATCGTTTGAGCACATGTGATCACGAATATGTTTGTTCACGCCATAAACAGAAAGACTTCACCTCCAGACAAATGCAGCATTCATCGTGTCCCGAATCAGGTCTGCACTTATGTTTTCCTTCAAGACGTTTGTCCAGGCATACGTTACAAACATCACAGTGGAAGGATCTGTCGCTGTGGATTCTATTCAAATAATTAAGAAGTAATGCAGAAAAATAACAGTTTTTTAGTTTTGTAATGAATAAGAAACCTACCCTCACCAGAACAACTACACTCACTAGGTTAATGCTACTCCGTCTATACCAGATGGAAACTGGGGCGATGCAAATAACCCTTCCCCGAAAATTCTTCAGGTTTCCCCTTCAAATTGCCTCAACATAGTTATTCGCTTGCACTAAGAAATAAAAATTCTTCGCCAAAGACCGTATCTCGAAGACAGAAGCTTGTGTGGCAGGTCAGTGCGTTCGAGGCCGACAAAAGTTTTGCTTCTTAAGACTGTTTAGAAGATCTCGAACTGTTTCGAGGCTGAATTAATAATTTATTGAAACATATTCTGAAGTAAATGAGCATGACCAGTGCATAATATCTAACCTGCAGATCCCACACTTTGTGCAATGGAAAGGATTCTTGTCAACAGACGTAAAGTGTTTACATGTTGCACAGAAATATTCAGACATTTTCGAGTTGCAGGAGCCGCACCTCTGGCTATTTTCATCGATCTGAAATGCATGGAGAATGTCATACAAATAAGAGAAAGAAAATTACTCCAGCAGTCAATTTCTAATATTCCGTTTAACATGACCATTTGACAGCATCTGCAAGAACTTTGCGATGTTGCTGTATATCTCGTCTCAGAAAGAGAGAGCGAGGAAAACTTATATTCTGTTCTCATTTAAAATCTCACCACTTGTTCGTTGTAGCAGATAGTACAGCGTATATGTGTGGCATTGATTGCTCTTGCCTGATCCTCAGTACAATCAGACTCGTTGTGGCAACGATGGCAAGGGAAGAACTTTCCACAGCAGGGAAACCGGACCAAGCATCGGCGTTGATAATGACTGCAAACAGGGCGTGGAGTCTCCTGTACAGGTGTGGCTATGGATTGTTGCTCACGATCAGCTCCTAAAGTGGACTCATTGACTTGCGTAAAGACCTCTTGATTACTTGATTCGTTGATAGGTGATGGAATGGATACCTCTTGTTCTCTAAAATTTCGTGCTTTTTCTTGTATGCCCACCTTTTCGACTGACTGGAGTGTGCATTGAGCCTTGTTTGCGGGAGTGACGCTTGACGCAACAAGCTGGACAGTTTGGGCCATTATTTGTTGCAAAGATCCAAGAAGAGAACCTGAAGAATGCTCTATCAATGAAACCTCATCCTCAGCACTTGTGGAAATTTGGGCAAGTCCACAGTCAATGTTTTTCGTACTACTGTCATATTTGTTCATCGTCGATTTCACACTATTGACAGCATCTCGTGAATAAGGGCTATTAAATGATGACTTGGTCTCAGGAATTACAGGGTCCCCCTCGTCAACACAATATCGCCTTGACGGCAGCAGTGACAAATTTTCATCACACACGCGAGATGACAAACTAGGGCGTTCTGTTTGACTCAAAGACGATGACTGAGGCATGAAACGGTTTTTTGTCACAAAGAGGTCTCTCTGAGAGCAACTTATCCTACCCTCATCAGAGACATGGCATGATTGAGTATATCCTTCTTCGCAAGATGCATCTTTTTCTCCGAAGGAGAAACTTCCATGATCTGTAGATAAAAGGAAATATTGGTTGTGATCGTCCTGCTGATGACCTTCAACTGAAGCATGGTCACAGTTACCAGCATTGATACAGAAATCCGGATTTCTATCATCGTTAATGTGACGCGCTACAAAAATAGGATATGACCTTGAATTAGTCTTTGTGGGGATAATCATACCTTTCCTCGAGTCATTTAATTTTCGTTTTGGCCTTGCTCCCCCATGATCATTGTATGTAACAGGTGCTATCGCCTCTTCCTTTAAAACATCTTCAGGTTTGCAAGAGAAAGCTTTGGAAGGGAAGCCTTGAGATATCTTTTCACTGCAGTTTGGAATGGGCTCGTTTGCGATAATCCTTTCGTCAAAATTATCCTTGATCCTTCCTAAGGATGCCTTGTCGCTTTCAATGACATCGCCACCTTGGTAAATTGAGGTAAAAGAAGTTTTATCGTAAGACATTATGTTAGGTATTCTCCTCTGTCGATCCTTGATTGCTCCAGAGGAGCAATACAAAGAAGGTCTAACTCTCTCGTCTGGTCCGTTTAAAATATCTGATTCAAGATCACATGACCCATCGACTTTATCTGTGGCGTTTAAAATGAATGTAGCATCAGAGTTGCTTTGGTCTTTGCGAAAACTTCCATTGATGGGTCCATCTGGTGAAACATGGTCAGAAAATGACGAGAATACTGTTCCTTTCTTTAAATCTAAGGGAGGGTAGAGATTAAAATAGCCATTCCCTTTGATCTTTACGGTATCTTCTAGCTTATGTCTTCTTTCCCCTTCAGAGAAACTGGGAATCGTTTTTCTTCTTGCTTCCTCAAAAGGACTGAGTTGTATGCGTTTTGCTTGAAAGCTATCGGAGGATGTCATAGGTGGATGGCTTTGATGAGCTTCTAAGATATCCTCAGATTTCGGTTCGGGTTCATAGGCCATCGTAGTGTCTTCCATATAGTTTTCTTGTGTTTTTCTAGAAAAATCGAATGCACCTATCGATTTTCCAATCACGTGGATTTCACTTGCCTTTGTTCTAAAAATTTCATTAGTTTCATTCTCATCAGAGTCTTGAATACCATGATTCGAGTGAATGAGAAAGTCATTTTGTAGAGACCTTTCAGATGAGTCATTTTTTTCGTTTTCCAACAGCTTAGATTTTAGTTGTTCTTCTGGATTTGAAGAGTCTTGTGAATTGATAAAGGAATGAGCTCCCGACAACCAATCTCTCTCAATTTGTTTTCTTTGTGCCTCGCAGTCGGTGTCCAAGGCATGCGTCGATTCTCGGCTTCGTTCCTCAGCTTGAACGTTTGGAAGCCTCAAAGTACTGAAGGTACCATCATCTTGGTAAGGGTATCGAAAAGAAGCGTCATGGCAAACTGGCTTCATAACTGGGGATGCTCTTGAGGAGCTAGGCAAGTAATGCTTCCCAAACCTTTCTTGTCCGTTGGAGCTCTCTCGTTCAAAATCGCATGACCTCAAGGGTCCATCCACAACATCAGTGTCTTCTAAAACCAAGTAATTGACTGAATACTTTTGGCTTCCGGTGGTTTCGCTCTCATCGATAGCTTTAAAATTTTCGTTAATGACTCTTGATTCTTCATCTTTTAAAGAACTGTCTCCATCTTTCAGACGCTTACTTTTTGATAGTATTTTAAGACTGGTGAGGTGTTGTGTATTACTTATTGACGGAGCTGGTGATTCTGGATCTTTAATAAGTTTAGGTACCGTCGGTGCACCTTCATCGATTTTTGCTACTTCAATTGCTTCGAAGGAGTCACACTCCCTTTCCGAATAGAAGTTGGAACTTTGGTTTTTTTCTTTGCCTTGATGTTGAAAGTGCGGAATTCCTATATAATCGACAATACCATCATTGGTTTTTTGGCTTTCTTTAAGACTGAACATACAACTTGTGTATGGCCTGTTTGAATCGATCGACACTTCATCGCTATTTTGTTCAAAGTTGAAGGAACTCTCTTTAAATTTCGACTTTCTTTTGTTCAAACTTCTCTGAAATTCAGCCATTAATGAGCGTCTCGATTTTCTATCACTTTCAAACAAGAGCTTACCCATGCAGGTTTCGTCGCTGTCTTCTGCTCTTTGCGTGAAATTTTCTTCATGCGTCTGCAAGCTCGACTCAATTAGGGCACAACCTGGAGCCTTCAAAGTTGGACAGTAGCTTTGGGAGCCACCCCCTGATGTTGTTTCTGATTGCTGCGAATTTTCAGAGATAGGATCCTGGTATAACTGACCTCCGAGAAAAGTAGATTGTCCTCCATTTAGGTCCACTAAACTTACATCGTTATCTTCTCTAGGAATGAGTTCCTGGCCTGTCTGAGTTTGAGACGCAGTATCTTTGAATCTTTTGTCATCTCCAATTGGATCCAGACTTACATTGTCATCATCTTGAACTGGAGATGGCTCTTCATCAAGCAATCGAGATAACTCATCTACTTCAATAAGGCACTGTAGAACACTGTTTTTGAGGCTGCTTTTTGAATCGTTCTCTGAGCTCTTGAGTTCCGGCGGGACCTGACATGAAAAAATCATGAAGTATTTAATACGTTAATTATCTCTCACTTAAAACGGGCGCGAATTATCAAGCTCAGAGAGCAGATCCCGCCCACAACTCGTCAAGAAAGTAAAAATGTCATTAATATTAACTTTTCAAGAATATACCGCGTATAAATTTTCGAGCTTTTCATGCGAACAATAATAAATGATAATGATAAATGATAAAAAGTTAAGTGAAAAGACTGATCGCTGCTTTCATTTAATCTTCTCAATCTAAGCATAGGTATATGTGTTCATCTAAAATGATTTCTCTGTGGCTAACGTTTCCTTTTTGCATTCTGCAAGATGTCAGTAAAAGCACTCACTTTATTGTTTTCTGCACCTGGGTCATCCAAGGGGTCCTCTAGGTGAATTCCTGATTGGTAAGCAACTTGATATTTCTTTGCAGAGGTATCGATGCCCGGCCAAGATAACACATCGGCCACACTTTTAGGGAATGAGGCTTCAAAGTACTTTTGAGTATCGCATCCTTTGATCCCAAGAGCTGTTGCTGTCTTTTTCGCTGTTGCTGTTGCTACGAACTTGATTCTTTGCTTAATCGACCTCTTGTCATGTGATAACGTCAAACGCGCTTTCACTGGTTGACGAATCGCTACAGATATGCTGTGACTTTGTATCGCTAGTGTTAATGTTTTGTCGGAGCGGCATTCCTGAAGAAGGTTTAAAACAGTAGTTTTAAACATGTAACTGCTCGTTTGCTCATCTGCAAAGATCATGCACTTAGTGTCTTGCCACATTGAGGTTTGAATCTCAAAAATGCTATGTTCTTGCGAAATTCCGACTTGAAAATCTTCCGTCAAACAAAGAGGAAGGAGCTCAATACGACTGCCATATGACGTGATGCTACAGTGGCCATACGTTGTTGTTGAGGTTAGGTCAACAATTATTTGAGTCCCAACATCTTCGTGTTCACTTTCAAAACGCTTTAGCTGAAAACATTCTTTGAATGCAAGTGAGACACTCCTCTTTAATACCAGAAGTTCATCGATATCAAGAATGACAGGTGAGCTGCAGGCAGCCAGAAACCCATTCGACGAGGTATTCGTCTTGTAGGACAAACTTCTAAAAACCTGTTCCTCAGGAGTAGGGCATTCAGCGATGCTTTCATCCGGGCCAATTGTTGAGGAAACCAGAACATCTTGGAATGCAGTCTTCCCATTGCAAGTTACTAAAGTTTTCGAAGCAAAAACTTGAATGCCGTCATTGAGCAGAAAATGAAACTCGGTTTCGTAGGGTGAAAGTTTTGTATACAGGTCGTATGCTGCAAAGGTTGTGTCAATCTCTTTCAATTCAATAGATATCATGATGAGGAAAATTAAAAACAGCTTCAGGTTGAATTGATAGTCAAACTCTGCGGTTGTTACTTCTCTTGTGGTTTCTTTGACTTTACTCCATTTTTCATTTTCCTCGATTTCTTTGCTAAGCTCTTCTAAAGTGTTGTTCACATCTTGATCGGCTGTCAATTCACCAGAATGTTTCTGTAGGAGTAAGCTATGCATCCGAACTAGCTCTGCGTTTAAATGACCCTCTTTTGAACGATGGTCTTCACAATGCGCCCCTGCTTGCTCGAAAAAGGCAGCAGCTTCCTCTTTCATTCCCTGCCGGAGCAGTTTCTGTCCAGTCTGCAAAAAGTCAATAGCATATTTCTGAGAAATCATTATTTTTGAGTCCAAACATTCATTTCCCAGTCTTTCTCCAGAAACCAGTTTCTTGCCTGTCTTAGATCTTCTCAAGGTTTCTTCTTCAGGGTTGTTTTCTCGGAGTAACACGGCCAATGCTTGTCCATGCTCAGCAACCAGACCTTCTATCATCATTTCCGACACTTCGCTTCTTGAGGACTTTTTTGGCTTTTTCGTAATCTCCATGTACGTTGTGGACAATTCATTTTCAAATGAAACGTGGTACAGGACCTCTAAGCTCTTAACAGCTCTCTGAAAGTAAAGGTATGATTCTTCTTTGTGCTCCAGTCTCGACTTCAGCTCACCAAGAGACATGTAGCATTTGATGAGGAGAGGATTTCTCTGGCCAAAAATCATTTGCAATATGTCAGCCGAGGATTTGAATTTCCCAGCAGCACTTATTAAGTCTCCTGTGAGGCTCAAAATAGAACCTTGCTTGAACAACAGCGAGGCAAGGTTTAAATGGCCAGATCCAAAACTTGTTTCGATGATTTCCACCGTTTTTTCTAATAGACTCAGGGCAATTTGGATTTGTCCTCTACGGACAAATACCTCCGCTAACTTTTCAAGTGCCTCAATTCTTACATTCATGTAAAGGCTTCCAAACATGTCAACTAGATCTGTGAAGGAGGTAGAAGATAATTTCTTCAGGCTAAATTCCTCCTCGGCCTCCCTGGTTTTTCCTTGTAGGAGTAGTGCTTCAGAAAGATGTAGACGAACAAAATTGAGAAGGCTATTACAGTCCTCTCTCTCCATCCTATTGCAGTAGGATTTCAGGCGTCTTAAAGCTTTTTCGACTTTGTTAAAGTTACCGAGAGAAGTGTACAAAACCACTCGATTATTCATCATCATAAATATAGTTTGAAAAGGTAATTCGTTAATCTCTCTAGCTGCACAATCATTCTCTAGCTGTTCTTGTAGTTCGAGGGCTTCATTAAAATTCCTAGATATCAAATGCAAGCGGCTAATGTTGCTATACACTGCAACAGACTCGGTATCCGTGGACAAACGTTCCAGTTGTCGTAGCTTTCTGGATTCTACATAGCTCAATGATTTCTTAAATTCTTCAGTTGCCAAGCAAAAATCTCCTTTAACAAGTGAAATACATCCTTTGTTGTTGTAAGCAGCTCCTAGGTCTTGTAAAGGGGAATTAGAGGTGGCTAATTGATGATGAAAATCTACCAGCAGTTCAAATGTTTCATGAGCAATTTCGAGCTCTGAGATTAACAATGCGAACGCCCCCAGAACGTTTAATACGCTCAAGTAAAACTCTTCCACACGGATACTTGAGTCATTGGGTGAGGATACTTGATTGATCGGAGAACTTCTGATTTTCTCCTGAAGGTATTTTTGCCCGACATAACTTGAATCTAACAGTAACGTTCCGTGTTTGATTGAGCAACTGACGCCACCCTCGAGAAAAAGCTCCTTTCCCCAAGCTAAAACTTCCCATAGCCAGCCATCCTCGTTTGGCACCTCAAGATCCTGTAGCTGAATATTTAACAATACTAAGAAAAGAGATCTTAGAGCATTTCGCGCATCAGCAATTTGATCAATTTGATGGTAGTTGATGGCTCTCTCTAGCGCCAGCACAATTTTGTCACTCACTTTACCATTTTCTTTTGCTAGATACACATCTTTTGATTGTAATCTATTTATTTTTTTCTCGCCAACAGATCTACCTTGCAGTCGAACGTCACGTGCACCTGCAAACCCCTCGCTCCGTTCATCCTTACAAAACTTTTTATTGGGTTGTGTTCGGTTGATTTTCCCTTCAGCTCCATCTAAGTGTCCTTTTTCTCGATTCCTATGGATTATTTCAGTGCTTTTCTCTGCAAAAAGATATGGAGACTGAAATGAGTTCTGAGTTAATTCTAAGACCTACATCAATGCTGTGAGCTAGTCTAGATAGATAGATAACTTTAGTTACACATGGTGGAAATACCTTCAGCACAATATAAGAAAATAAAATATTTAATTCTGCTAAACTAACTAAAAATCAATATAGTGTTGTAAGAATCAAGGATAGCCGTGGAGTTAACGTTTAAATTCGCTTAAAGAAACTGTTGATTGGAGTTCATGTGAAAGACTGTTCCACAACATAGCACCTCTATAGGAAAAACGTATCCTGAAGCAATTGGTGCGGGGTTGTGGAAGATCCAATTTACTCTCAGAATTCCTCATTTGGTACGAAGTAATATCATTTCGAGATATAAATCGGGATTGTCTGCAATGATCACCAAGGAAATTTGATTGCCTCCTTACACAATTTGTCCTTTAATTGCTTTAATCAAGACAGGGGTTTATGCTAACAAAGTTAGGTTATCAAGATTCCTTCTCCTCTGAGATTATCCTTCACTTTACCTCCAGAGGTATTCCGAAACAGAACTTTACAATATGGTTTGGATAAAAATTTCAAAATGGTTGAACACTCCTTTAAGAAGAGCAAGAATCTTAAATAGAAAGATTATAGCTACCTTGAAAATAAAGGTCTCTAGAAAAATATGGCACCTACTAGATTGGTAGTTTTTCTTATTTCTTTTAGCATATGTATTTTTCGTCGATTGATGTTTGCTGGGTTATCTCCACAAGGTTCAGCACAACGTCTAACATGGTCTCGACGGTGTGACAGTCAAATATTTTGTTAGGATGATAGCACTCCTACGACTCACCTGATTTCGAAGAGATACGAGCAACAAATTTCTTCTTAAAGCTTTTGAATTTAGTTACCACAGCTTCCATCGTAAGTTCCAGTCGTGTTGCCTCTAATTTTCCTGTAAAAGATTTTTTTGATAATTATTTGTATAGGTAATCAAACGGTAGGGCTCGTGCAATTTTTGGTCTTTGAAAAAATTAACATATGTTTATTTATTCCAAATTGCACGAAAAACATCATCTGATTACGTGTTAATAATATACATGAAAAAATACGAGATAGCTTATCATAATTAAGAAGAAGCAAAGCGCGCGCATCAAGTGCAAAAATAATTAATTCAAACCTTGCGTTCGGTCAAAACAACCGCTACATGATCAAAACAATAATATACAATGATATCTTCACATCTTTAAGGGGCAAGAAATTCAAGTCTGTGTCCGAATCACTTTCGATGAAATGGAATCGTCGTTTCCGAGGTTTAACCATGTTTGTTTTTAATTTCGGCGTGTGATCGCTCGAGCAAAGTGTTAAGCTGGGTTGGCCCGTAATTTTCGATTTCCTTGGCCTTTCCCTTCTCTAAACACCACTTTTTCCAAACCGAAAACCAAAAAGGAGTGCTTTTTACAGTGTTTCGTTGTTAGAGCTGTTTTTCAGCTGCGGTGGTGAAAGAAACTCTACTTAAAACGCTGGCCACTGTCTCGCTCGCAAATTTTTAAATTTTCAAATTTTGTTGCGACATCCAAGGCTTACATCTGATTGGCTAGCTGTGAGTTTCTTCGATTATTGACCGATCAGAATGTCTGGTTGGTTACTTCTTTTGCACTGAGTTAACTCTCTTCTGCACTGAATTACCTGAAAACTGCATTTATCTTAACCAATCAGAACTGAGTAATTTTTTCATGTATATTATTAATATAGGTAATCATATGATTTCGAGTACAATTTGGAATAAATAAGCACGAGTAAATTTTTTAAAGACTAACCATTTCTTAACAAGACTAACTCATTTCTTTTTGTGAGAAGTATAAATAAAGTTAAAAGAAACATAAAACTGTAGTCTAACAAGACGATTAACTCAAATACTTGAGGACATCATTTTTAACATCAACAATGCATTTTTCTTATTGCACGATAAACTGATGAACAGCTCAATTTGTAGTCGAACTTAGTCTGTACTAACTGATAGGTTTCCTGGTCATGTCCAAGTTGGTTTATTGAAATGCCAAAGCAAACAAGTCTAAGAACGTTGTTAGGTTCACTTTGCAAAGAAAAAAAATTAAAAACGTTAAGCCTCCGCCCCAAAATTTAGACGTTGCTATTAACAAACGAAAAAAGAGTGTCGCTCACTGGATCTGTTAAGATATAGGAGGTCTGATCGAACTTACCTTCTGCTCTACCTTCTCTTTTCTTGATGGTGTCATCATCTTGAAACCAATTTTTTAAAAGTTCTCGATAGTGTTTCTCAAAATGACAGTCCATGCATTCTGTCTTGATACTATTAATAGCATTTTGGTAACAAGTTCCTCCCAATCTAACCAGTACATTGCTGATATCCTTCCAGTAAAGGTTGAATGTTTTGTCATCGACAGCGGCCCCTCTGGCATAACTGTAAACTGTGTCTCTGTAGTACGTAATGCGAACAATATCTGCTTCAGGTGTTGTGTTTTCTGTAGGAGGAGGACGATCCCAACCAGAAGTAGGAGGAACGAGAAAACAAATACTCTTAAGCAGAACTGTTAGCAGAGTGATGTCAAAATACTGCGATGATACAAGCGACTGGGGATACAATTTTGCCCACTGATGAGCATTCAGAACTTGTTTCTTTCTAAGTGACAGTAGTACGGAATGAACTGGTTTATGTGATAAAAATGTTCCTAGGTTTTCTGGTCGATGAATCTTGTCGAACGTTGTTCTCAGGACCTGAGATCCCAGATCTACCAACAGGCGACATAATCGTGCATAATTAGTTGTTTCTTTCGTAGAGCGGAATG